CCCCCCAATAATGTTAGTTTCTGAATCTGTATCTTTTTCAGAAAGTCCTTTCCCATGTCTCTGGCCTTGCAATTCCATCAGGTTGATCAGAAACAGCAGTTTCTCAAAACAGGTTTTTAAAATGCAGCCATGTCCCAGTCACCCCAGGAGGAATAACAGAGTGCTCATGACTTCATTTTTCTACTTCCCAATACTGAGTGGCCAACTAACAAGCTGGCTAAACATTACAGAATGAGCAAATTTGACCCTGGCATCATTACACTATAGGTTTGAGTGAATGACCAAGGTGCATTATGATCAGAAAATAATCACTCCATGGAAGAACAAAAAAGTAGTCTGGCCTACAAGAAAGCTGGGGAAGGACTCTTCATAAGGGCAGTTAATGACAAAACAAGGGGAAATGGTTTAAGCTGAAAGAAGGTTGGTTTAGATTAGATATTAGGAAGAAATTCTTCACTGTGAGGGTGGTCAGACACTGGAACAGGTTGCCCAGAGAAGTTGTGGATGCCTCCTCCCTGGAAGTGTTTAAGGCCAGGTTGGATGAGGCTTTGAGCAACCTGGTCTAGTGGAAGGTGTCCCTGCTGATGGCAGGGGGGTTGGAACTAGATGATCTTTAAAGTCCCTTCCAACCCAAACCATTCTATGATTCTATGATTATATCTTAAGTATAGATAACTCTTTGTATAACTTCCAGTTTCATTTACTTTGCCATGAGAATAAATCATTACCCAAAATAAAATCAGGAATACACTTATATGTGTGAAATTAAAGTAGCTGTATGCATACTTTCTATGTATATACCTATACATGCAGAATTCTTTTATATAGACCATTGTATATCTGGTTGAGGACAGGCTCTGCATATCGCAAAACCAGAACCAAATTAAAGTTTACATTTAACTGAATGACAGTCATAAAACCTACCTGTGCATTGCCCTACAAAAAGTTAAAAATATTTTTTTGGCTGCTGAGTACTTGTAAGTTAGGGAATTTCGGATTTATATCTTTTCATGCAATCTGAATTCCACCACTGTTTACATCCATCCTAGTGTCTGAAAAATGCAAGTCTTGAAGAGGAATAACTCATAATCAATAAATTGTTGATTGAATCATTATATACATAGATACTACATAAAAATCCATTTTTATTGTGCACAATATAGAGCTAGTTATAACTGTACAATGGTGATAAATTGTAAACAAGACCTTGAATATCTGCTGCTGACTCTTCTGGTGTATTGACTGGCTTAAAAATGTACCAGTAGCAGAAAGCTGTTCCCTCTGCTGGGACCTAGGGAAACACCAGTGTTGCCTATTACTGGCACCAGTGGGAGGATGATATGGGCTACTGTGTCCAGAGCAACGTATCTTAATAGATAGAGCTCTGCTACTAAATGCATTAGTTCCAGGGACTGATCCCCAGTCCTCAGGCATTAGAGGTGCACGATGGTTTATGTCCACCCTGCTCAGACCCTGTCCCTTTAGAGCAGACTGGCCATATCTCCAAAACATAGCAATTGGCCCTGCCCTGTGTTTCCTCTTGACATTGTATGCATGGGTTAATTAATTTTTAGGTTTGCAGTGAGGGCAGTTTTGTAGCCTAACAGAGCTGTGTTTTAAGATTATGAGGCTGAGGGCATATGTTGCATTGTCTGGTACATGTGATGGAGTTTGAGTGCATAAAGCCAGCTGGGATAACGTTGGAGTAACTGTACAAAGCAGAAAGACCCAAACCTGATGCAGACTCACCCATGCTGCTGTTTGGGTGTGATCCCTGAAATGAATTGTCTCCAGAACTGTGCCTTGGTTTGTTTTTATCTCAGATGAAACAAGCTGGGTCACTGCAAGAGAGTCTGGGAGCAAAGCAACACTCATCTCGAACGGTGTCCATACACCCAGAAAGACTGTGTTGGCATACAGTGGAAGTCCTGGTACTCTGGAGCAGTATGATGAGATTAGGAAGGACATGTCAGCCAGACTTCCTTCATTTCAGACAGTGCCACAGCTGCTATGACAGCTTCCCTGTTCCAGAGTATTTACCACTGAAATAGGCGATTTCAGGCAATAAAGATTATTGGTTGTTAAGAAGTTAAAAGCTATACTGACATAACTGCAAAAGTGCTACATTACTAAGGTATAGAAAGATGCAGAAATTGAAGACACTTGAAGACATTTGAAGTCACTGTGGCTAAGAACATATGGAAGCAGTTCATATCAGCAATTTAAGAAATCAATTTTCCTCTTTACTTTTCTGTGTCAGATAAGTGGGCACTGAACCATGTAGGATTTCTTGAATTAAACCCACCATCTAAAAGTGCTTTCGAAAAGCCACAGGCAGTCGGTAAAGACAGCATAGTACTGGTTGCATATGCTTCTGGTAAGATACTCTTTCAAAACTGCAAAGTATTTGGAGTCAATACCAGAAGAAACTTAGTAGCATGATTAATTTTTTGTCCTAATTAATGTCAGTAAAATAAATGGGAAAAAAATGTCATGGTTGGCGGTGAAGGTTTCTACTATTCACTAGCTGCAACCTTGAAAGTAAATAAGGGCTGTATACATTCTGTATAATTTCTCCTTGTTCTGTATTCATGATAAGCCTGTCAGATTAATGAATAAATGTTATTAAAGCATATGCATAATTTCTATTAACAATTAATGGAACCTGCAAACTTATACTGAGATCTCATTGGTGACCGCTGAATTCCATGATCTTGATGATAGCTCTCATTTATTACCTCTGAAGTAGTGCTGCTGTGAGTCTTTATGGATTTTAGTCCTCTAGTGCATGGAAATGAATTTCCTAAAATACAGCACATCTTGTACTCTGATGGTTTAGGTAAATTTGTTCAATATGTTTTTCTCATAAAAATGAAAGTAGATTGTAGTTCAGTGTTTAATTTTCTACCAGAATAATGTTTTATACAGAGGATGAAGTGTTAGAAATCTAATAACTTTTAATTGCATTTGGTAGAGTGAATTAGAAAGATTATAGAATTCTTTATCAGTCCCCAGCCCTGATGCAATTTTTCCATTATGAACTTGGAATCATTATTATAATTTGAGGGAACTGACATTTTAATTTAAATAATAAAATTTGCATATTAGCTGCCTTTTAAAATGCAGAACACTTTCCTATTCAGTTTTCTTTAGTCTAATTCTGAAATATCTATGTTAATGAAAGATTAGTACTGAGACTTTAAATAAACAGGTATGGCAAACTTTAAGACTTCTGCAGTGCTTTCATTTGGCCCCATAGGATTTTACTTTACTGATAAAGCATCTGAGAAAAGATGACAAAAGATGAAAGACCCTTTGAGGATTGTACTTGGCTCATATTTTGACTTTAACTTTTAGGCAGGCATGTCTAGAACTTTGAACTATAATGACATCCCCTAAAAGAGACAAAGATTTTAAAAGTAAAATAAAGCAAGATTTTGTTGAAATTTAAACGAGATTATTTTATTTTATTTTATTTTTTTTAAATAGAGGATGCTCAGAGTGACTGGGTTAGAAAGAATACACAAAATAAATTTATAATCTACTTCCTTCTGCTTCTGTGGGGCAGGTCCTTCCTCTTTGGTTTGGTTTCAGCCAGTTCAATGAGATACTGAGATGTGAACTCTGTTCCCCTACAGAGGGACTCATCACCTCTGTAGTCCTGCTTTTGTCTGTCCCTCTCAGTGGTCTCTGCATGCCATGCAGGCACCCTGCTCCTTACAGACCACTTTGCTCTTGCTCCTTTCCACCTCTGGACATCTCTTTCCCAGAGCCAGGCTGAATAGTTTCTGAGGGAGGGGAAGGTCCTCCCTCCTTTTAGAGGATTGCAACAGACTCTACTGCTCTCATCTTCAAGAAACAATGTGCAAAATCAAAAGCAAATAAGAATTATTGCCTGTTTCAGTTGAGTGGTACTGTCTGTATTTTGGCTGCAGACTGCTGGAATCATAAACCTTGAGGGAGCTATCTTGTTTTTTTTTTTTTGTTTGTTTGTTTTTTGTTTTTTTTTTTTTTTCTTCTGCAGAGGGGTCATGTCTTCACACTGTTGCCTGATCCTACTCTGGTTCTTTTGGTGCTGTGGATGTCTATGATCCTTCAGACGTCAATGCTTAAGCTAATTACCTTTAACTGCCCTTAAAATAATCTCTGGAGGCAGTCAATGATCAGTGGAGGTGATCAACAGCTGTGATTCATCTGACCTACTTCAAAGGTCTAATTCATGAAATGACACGCCTTACCCTACATCACTCTTTATATGCCAGAAGACATCTTCTCAAGCTATACCAAGTTTTAGTCACAGATGTTTAAAAACAAAAACCACAACAGGTAGATGGACATTTGGCTTGCTAGTTGATTATATGGGGATTTTACTTCTCACGAAAATCAACTTTAGTATCATTAACTGAAGCAGTGTTATCAAAAACCCCCAAATTTATGATTTTTTTTTTTAATATAGTTTTATTCTTTTAATTAACTATGACCTTTCTGGGTAGTAGGACAAGTTCTATAAATCAGCATTCCATGTCACTTCTGTTAGGCAAACATCCTAGGTCTAAATTTCTCCTATTGTCCTTTTTCTAAAGCTAAAATACCTCAATATTTACAGTCAAAGGTTATCCTGTTTGTTGAGAGCTCATTTGTGTAGTTAAATCTAGTTTCTCTTGGAAAACTGTCTCGTCTTCTATATTCACTGTGGTTTAACTTCTGACTCTGGGCTTGGTCATCAAATTCTGCTGCAGATACTTTTAAGGATGTGAAACTCTCTTTTTGCCAGTTATCTTAACTAGTATTTTGCATCATTGAAACGTTTTAAAACTATGACTGAAATAGTGGAAAAGTAGGGAAATTGTTTTCATTTAATTTAAACTGCCTTCTGTTTGTTTGGTAGGTCATGTTGTGCAGAGCTCCTTTTTATTTTATTGCCAGTGCATTAAGGGAGAAATGTGTTCAGTCGCTGTAGATACAAAAGGCTCCTGTTGTATTGTCACTCCTTTGGATACCAGTTCTCATATTTTCTGACTAATTTCCATAATTTACTGAAAAGTCATTGGAATTCACAGGAGAAATTAAATACCTTAATTGGAAAGTGTTTCAGCAAAACAAAAAGCTATAAATTATATCTACAGAGAATATTATGCAAATGACAGCAAAAATGTTGTCCTAACCTGCAGAGAGGAATAACGCCTCAAATTCAGGAGAGTGGACTGGATCTGAAGTTTCTTCCATATAATTTCTCTTGTTTTCCATCCTGCTTTTGTTGAAGTGGACGTGCATCATTTTCAGCTTACACTGTAATTTACCTAGGTGAACCAGTGACTAGAACAGAGTCGGGGCTGAGTGCCATTTGTCTGATAGCTTGCTTAGTGATGAAGAAAGGGCTGCATTGCCCTAGAGAGCTTCACAAACTTCCTTAAATTTTCTCTGAATCACAGAATGTCAGAAGTTCTGTGTCAATATTTACTTGCTGTAGAAACACTGAAGCTAGTTCTCAGTTACTGCAGCCTACTGAGGTTTTATCAAATAACTTAATCCATTTTCTTTTCTGCAAAATTTTCAACAAGGAATTCACTGCAGCAATGATTCTTCCCTGACAACTTTAAGACAGATCATCAGGGTCAACGTGTAACAGCTTGCGCAAGAGTCAGCAGTGCTGTAACCAGTGACAGAAACCTTAAACTTAGAGATCTTTGATTAAATTATTTAATGTTACAAGAACATTAAATATTGCACAAGTGAAATAAATGTAGTTTTTGTGGTTTTGTTCTGAATATGCAGCCTAGGAAGCTGCCTGAGAACTCTAATGTTTTCCCCCAGCTTTCATTTGGTCCCTGGGACAGTGTATGCATGTGCATTTAAACTTGTGCTAAGAGGTTTCTTTAGAGTGGTGAAAATGTTTTTAAAATTGAACACTCCCCCACAGCTCTGTGAGAAAGATCCTTCCTCACAGTGTGCAGCAGAACTTCTGAGGCCCAAAAGGTTTGTAAATGGTCACCGAGAAGGAACACAGGGCTGAGAAAGGTGTGAACAGGTCCCATTAGTCTGAAAGGGGAATCAACATCAAAGCATCCACAAGGCTCTTATTTTAGCACTTTAAGTTGTTATTCTGAAACTTTTTTCTCATTTGCTATTAGTGATAAATAGATTAAGGCATGTCATGCTACTTTCCTGTGTGATGGTGGAATTGTATAGATCTGTCACTGTTTATGAACAATAAAATGATATGTGGAGAAACAAACAAACTTGGCTCTTAAGATTTAAGTGTTTGTACCCATAGAGAGAGAGGAAAAGAGAAAGTGTTCATATTTTGGCAAAATTCGATTCAAGCAAATTTGTGCAACCGTTAAAATGAAAAGTTAATTATAGAGTTACTCAATGTTACTGAGGAGTTATTTTATAAAATGTTTGAAAAAAAGATCAGTTTAATAAGCTGGTTTTTAATTGTTTAGTGCTTAAGAAAAAAAAAATCTTAGTGAGACGGACAGCTATTAAGCTATAAATGCTGGTGAACGACATAGATTTAAGAAAGCATAGGCTTAATGTCGAAAGCCACATTGTTAAGTTTAGCACATCTTATATCACTATATCCTCAGTTTAAAAAGTACATATTTGCTCTGTAATTTGTCACTGAATCTAACATTTATCTCCAGATTATCTAGAGTCTGTGATATTAATCAGTTTTAGCTGAGGAATGCTTGTAGGGATTGACTGCTAAGTATCTGCTCAAATGATACTGAATTATCAAATCTATTTAAAGCTGTCATAACAAATATATTATTTTCCTTTTACCCTCCCCCCCCCCCCCCCTTTTTTTTTTTTTTTTACTTTGTAAAGCTTTCCAACATGATTTTATAAATTAAGGAACTAGATGCCTGGAAGCAACATTTATGGACCTTTTCTATACAGCTAAAAATATCAGCTTAAATAATTTGTGGTTGCCTGGAAACTCGTTCGTGCATTTCAGTAGAGTAGATGGTTTTGCCCTTTTTAAGGCATGCCTTAAAAGCATGCCCTCTCTGTATACAGCAGTAGGCTCCTGCATTCAAAGTATCATTGGTGAAGTTAGGCTTGTGATATCACTGGCAAAAAGGAGAACATTCCTTATACCTGGAACTAAGAATTTATTGTTAGTCTAATTAAAAGTTTTATCAGTGTAAGTAAAACACAACAAACAGTTATTGTTAGTCCTCTTACGACAATACTAACACTTACAGTCCAAATTATCTAATGGGTACATAACAAAACTCATTAACAATACACAGTTAAAACTGTTGTAAAAAAAACCCCAACAAACTAAAATACTCCCAGTATCTCCTGCTTATATTCTGATGTTAGAGTCACCCTTTGATGCTCTATAGTGTGCTAAGGTTCACAGGTTTA